CTAAAAGTTGGTGATGTTTGATTGTTTAGATGAAGCCTAATTACCATCCTGAAGGACTCTTTGATGATAACAAAGTAGTGTCTACTAATTCAAAAGAGAAAGAAATTCATATCCCTCAGTTATGGCATAAGTATGGTAAATGTCCTGGAGGAACCATTCCTATGAGGAGGACAAAGGAAGATGATGTCTTGAGAGCTAGTTCTGTTAAAAGATATGGCAAGAAGAAGCATAGAACTGTTCCTTTACCTAAATCTGCAGAACCTGACCTTATCAACCAAAGTGGTCACCAAGTGAGTGTCAAGTGTTGTGGTTGTGTAAAAATTTCCTTTTTTAAAGTTGGTTTCTTGATCTGAGAATGTGTTTCTTGAATTGTAGCATGCTATAGCTTATGTGGAAGGAGATAAGTACTATGGAGCTAAGGCGACTATTAATGTTTGGGAGCCAAAGATACAGCAGCAGAATGAGTTCAGTTTGTCACAGATTTGGCTTCTCGGTGGCTCATTCGGACAAGATTTGAACAGTATCGAAGCTGGTTGGCAGGTACAACGTTGTTATTTCTTCGGTTAACATCTTGAAAATGTGTGATATGATTTGTATGTAGTGTATTGATTCTTGTTGGTTTACTACAGGTGAGTCCGGATCTGTATGGTGACAATAACACAAGACTCTTCACTTATTGGACTGTAAGATCCTGAATCTATCCTCTAATCGAAATCTTTTGGTCATGTGTCGCTTTTGCTTATGTTGTCATGCTATTTGCAGAGTGATGCGTATCAAGCTACTGGCTGTTACAATCTTCTTTGCTCGGGTTTTATTCAAATCAACAGCGACATAGCAATGGGAGCAAGCATTTCCCCTGTCTCTGGATATCGTAACTCGCAGTACGATATCAGTATCCTAATCTGGAAGGTATGTTATAAGCCATAAAGAAATAAGTTTAGTTAGCTAAAATCTTTCGATACTGACTGTTGTGGAAATGGTATGTTAACTTTGTCACAGGATCCAAAAGAGGGACACTGGTGGATGCAGTTTGGGAACGGTTATGTGTTAGGCTACTGGCCATCGTTTCTCTTCTCCTACTTAACTGAAAGTGCATCGATGATTGAATGGGGAGGAGAAGTAGTGAACTCGCAATCAGATGGTCACCACACTTCAACACAAATGGGTAGTGGTAAGTTTCCAGAAGAAGGCTTTAGCAAAGCAAGTTACTTCAGGAACATTCAAGTGGTTGATTCGTCAAACAACCTCAAGGCACCTAAAGGACTCGGAACATTCACTGAACAGTCTAACTGTTACGATGTTCAACCCGGTAACAATGATGATTGGGGTCATTACTTCTACTATGGAGGTCCTGGTAAAAACGAAAAGTGTCCATAAACTAGACCACCACCAAGTAGTGTACTGGCTCGTGTTCTCTCGGGTTCTCTTGCCTTGTGAATTCACTGTGTTTCTTTCTACACACACTCGGTTAATCCGCCTTCTCGGGGTAGTTTTAGGGATGGTTAAAGTTATGTGATGGTTAGTTTTTTTTTGTTTGGTGTCTTCTTTCCATGTTAAGTAGATGGTGAAGAAGAGGAAGGTGTGGCTTAAGTTATTCTGAAAACTCAGAAACTTTGGCTTTTAGTGAAATCTTACTTTGTCTCCTTTGTATTGTAATTTTGTTTAATCAAGTGAATGAGTCTCTCTCTCTTAATTTATCTTCAAAGAAAAAAAATCAAAACAACTAAAATTAACTTTTGATTGAATCTTCATGAACCTACTCTCTAATTCCCTTTTTTTGACAATTAGAGACTTTAGTTTTCTCATTACTTTTTGTTGCTAAATTTGATTTCACATTTGGAGAGAGAGAGATAAGTGTCTAAAAAGTGATTGTGGATTAATAATGAAAATTTGGTGATGACTGATTCATGAACTCTCTTTTTGGATCATGATCTTTTTGCATATGGGTGAATGATATTTTCTTTTCCTTTCTCCATTAGAAAAATAATGAATTTAATTACTATTTTGATCATAAATTGCAAAAGTAGTTAAATTTTATTTCTAAATACGGTATTTTTCTATAAGAAATTCTATTTTAAATTTTCTCTTTTCAATATTCTATAGATCTGCCTTTTGAAAATCAACATGTTCTTGTTAAAAAACAAACATTATGGTCTTCTAGGTTCAGTAGACTATATTTGACTTAATCGGCTTAAAAATTTGGATTAATGAAATTATGAAAAGGAAAGCATTTAAAATTCTCATTTGTATTAGTATTATATTATATAGTTGAATGTTTAAATTTTGTGTGACAGAGACATTGGTATTACAATTCTTTTCCTGGTTATGAGCTTTGAGCGTATAACCTGAATAGACTTAAAATTGTAATTGCTTAGTAATTAGTACTATATCATATAAAATGATGGGTTAGGTACTATTTTATCATTTAATCACACAAATCACAATATTCATTTTCTTATTATAAAAAATTCTGTTGCTGTCAGTTTGTGCATTCCTTATTGTTAAAATATTCTGTGTAATTTAAAGATTTTAATGGATAGGTAATTAAAGAGGAGGCATATAAATTCAGAAAAAAAAACAAGGGAGAACACATATAAGTCATTTTTTAACAAATCTTAATATTGCTAAATCCGTAACTATAAATGCTCAAAATCATTCCATTTCTCATTAACCAATAACAACTCAGCGCGTCTCCACCACTCGATACCTCATTGGCACGTGACTCACACGCGTGTTCGGACAAAGCTATATCTTTTTAATTTATTTCATATTAAATTGTTTTTTCTTTTTTCCAAAAGCACTTTTTCTCAAGAGTTTTTTTTTTTTTTAATTTACGGTTCACACACACACATTCGAGGGTAGGGTTTTAATCTTACCTTCTCTCTCTATCCATTTCTCAAAATTTCTCTGAGATTTATTCAAAAAAGCTTCCATTTTTACAAATAAAGAAGCAAGAAAACCCTAAAGGAAGCTAATTCCTGCATCTTCAAGCTCTTTCGAGAGTGAAAGTTTCTTGCTTTTTTTTTTCTTCATCTCCTTTGTGTACTTTTTTTCATAGCTTAATTCTCTGAAAATTAAAAACCCTAAATTAAACCCCAAATCTGTACTCAAAGATGTCTCATTTTGCTTGAAAGCTGCAAAATTTCCGGTTATTCGATCCCCTTCTGGTTCGATTTCACCGTCATGCTACTGCACAGTAAGCTCATTTCGTTCAAGTAGGTATGGATCCCCATTTCTAAGCAAAGTTGCGAAATTTCGATTCGATTTTAGTGTATACTGTGCAAAGGTTGATGCTTTATGTCTAGATTGAGAGTTTTGATTACTGAATTGCATGCTGTTTTTAGGTGGGAGAAGTAGCCATGGAAGGGGATGAACGAAGAGTCTTACTGGCTTGTGTAATATCCGGTACCCTTTTCGCTGTTTTCGGTTTGTCCTCGTTTTGGATACTTTGGGCGGTTAATTGGCGGCCATGGAGGCTCTACAGGTAAATTAAGTTCATATAATTTGGGCAATTCTAGTTGAACATTGACCTAGAACGATGATTTTGGAATGCCTTATGTATTTTGCAGCTGGATCTTTGCTAGAAAATGGCCTAAAGTATTGCAAGGTCCTCAGCTTGATGTACTATGTGGTTTTATATCTCTTGTTGCTTGGATTGTGGTAGTATCCCCTATTGCAATCTTGATTGCATGGGGTTGTTGGCTGATTGTGATATTGGATCGAGATATTATTGGACTTGCGATAATAATGGCTGGAACAGCGCTTTTGTTGGCGTTCTACTCAATCATGCTTTGGTGGAGGACGCAGTGGCAAAGCTCAAGTACGTTTACAGTCTGATTCTTTTGGCATTTTAAGATTGATAATACCGGTGGCACGAATGGTAGTTCATGAGGTATCTGATGTAGGAATGGGAACAAAGGAGAACATATCTGATTAGTTACTCTCTAGGCAGTACTTATCGTGGATGTATACTACTGAACTTGTTTCTAACTTTCTTCGTTGGCCAAACAGGAGCTGTCGCTTTACTTCTTCTTCTTGGTGTTGCCTTACTCTGTGCGTATGAACTTTGTGCTGTCTATGTTACGGCTGGTGCTCATGCATCTCAGCAATATTCTCCTTCTGGTTTCTTTTTCGGTGTATCGGCAATCGCGTTGGCAATAAACATGCTCTTTATCTGCCGCATGGTCTTTAATGGTAAAGCTTTCCCAATCCTTACATGGCTGCCTATGTCTAATCAACATGACATTGTTGTATAGTCGTCTCATCAGTCTTCTCAATCCTCATATTAGCAGAAAGCAACTTTCCTGTTGTCGATTAACATGCATAGGTTTTGATTTCCAAGCTTAATCTATGTTTCTGAAATTGCTCCATTTTTCTCCATCACCGCAGGAAATGGGTTAGATGTGGATGAATATGTAAGGAGGGCGTATAAATTTGCTTATTCAGATTGTATAGAGGTGGGTCCTGTGGCTTGTTTGCCAGAACCACCTGATCCCAATGAATTATATCCACGACAAACCAGCAGGTAAGTTCTTATTTCTGTTCACCTAGAAATTCAATTATTTTCTGGCATAACTGGCCTTTTGTTAGTGACTGATCCTGAATTGTGCAATCAAAAAGCTATTGAATATACGGAACGAACCTAAATCTGAACAGGATTCAGGGCCAGTAACCCTAGTAATTTTTTCATTACTCAGCTGGCGTGGATGGTGTTATGGGTTGTTCATTACTGATTGCTGAAATGTTCTCATGCATATATTTCTTAATCAGCTGCAATTCGTAGGCCACCTGTTTTGTTTCTTGAAAATAATTTGCATACATTTGTTTGATTCTTGCATATTTGTAGGGCTTCACATCTCGGCCTCCTGTACCTTGGCTCACTCGTAGTTCTCCTTGCCTACTCAGTCCTATATGGACTCACAGCTAGGGAATCACGTTGGCTTGGAGGCATTACATCAGCTGCAGTTATTGTTCTTGGTACAAAGATAAATTTTGTTTGCATATATTTGGAGCAGAAGCAGGCTGTTGAATTATTCTCTACTCATCTTCCTGCTTAATATTTTTATGTAGATTGGAATATTGGTGCATGCTTGTACGGCTTTAAGCTTCTTCAGAATCGTGTTCTGGCACTTTTTGTTGCTGGCACATCTCGCCTTTTCCTTATATGCTTTGGCATACACTACTGGTTTGTTTCTGAGCTAAAAAATTATTACTTATTTATAGATTAAAGTTTGTTCCCTTCATTGGATGGAAGTTAATATGTATTTGGTTGTTGCAGGTACTTAGGGCATTGTATTAGTTACATTTTTGTAGCATCGGTTCTATCAGGTGCTGCTGTTTCCCGGCATTTATCAATAACAGATCCATCAGCTGCAAGAAGAGATGCCTTACAAAGCACAGTGATCCGGTTGAGAGAAGGTTTTCGGAGAAAGGAGCAGAATAGTTCATCAAGTTCTTCAGATGGTTGTGGCTCAAGTATAAAAAGAAGCAGTAGTATTGATGCAGGCCATGCTGGTTCTACTAACGAAGCTAATCGTACCGGAGAATCGTGCACGGCTGACAATCTGACTCGAACAGGCAGCTCTCAGGAGTGTATCAATAGTGAAAAAAGCGTAGAAAGTGGAAGACCAAGCTTAGGTTTACGTAGTAGTTCATGTCGTTCTGTGGTCCAAGAGCCTGAAGCAGGAACGTCTTATTTTCTGGATAAAGTTTCTGATCAGAATAACATTCTAGTCGTTTGTTCAAGCAGTGGTCTTGACAGCCAAGGTTACGAGTCTAGCACATCGAATTCTGCGAACCAGCAGCTTTTGGATTTGAATTTGGCTCTTGCTTTTCAGGAACGGTTAAACGACCCTAGGATAGCCTCAATCCTTAAAAAGAAAGCAAAAGAAGGTGATGTTGAGCTGACTAATTTGTTGCAAGACAAGGGGCTGGACCCTAACTTTGCTGTGATGTTGAAGGAAAAAAACCTGGATCCAACCATATTGGCACTACTTCAGAGGAGTAGTTTGGACGCAGATAGAGATCACCGTGACAACACTGATATTACAATCGTTGACTCAAACAGTGTTGACAATACTTTGCCAAATCAGATTTCTTTATCTGAAGAATTGAGGCTCCGGGGGCTAGAGAAGTGGCTAAAGCTGTCAAGACTTGTTCTGCACCATGTAGCGGGCACACCAGAGAGAGCATGGGGCCTCTTTAGTCTTGTGTTTATTCTTGAAACAATAATTGTGGCCATTTTTCGTCCGAAGACCATCACAATTATAAATTCTAGTCATCAACAGGTGAGTTCCACCCTCTGATTCTAGTCAATGTTGCAATTATTTTGTCTGGTCTTGCGAGCAAATTGCTGCTAGTTTACTCAAATTGGTCCT